CTTAGATTCTTAGGGTTCTAGAATTAAGTGAACTACTTTAATCTCTTAAAATGTTTTACAGTCTTACCACTGTGCATCTATGAGAATGATTAAAATAAAAGCATTTACATTAACACATATACATTACTATATATATAATAGATACCCAACAAAGACCTACTATACTTATATGCAGAATACATTATAAGAAACGGTGGGCTGGAGGAAGCACAAGCTGGAATCAAGATTGCCAGGAGAAATATCAATAACCTCAGATATGCAGATGACACCCCCCTTATGGCAGAAAGTGAAGAACTAAAGAGCCTCTTGATGAAAGTGAAAGAGGAGAGTGAAAAAGTTGGCTTAAAGCTCAACATTCAGTAAACTAAGATCATGGCATCCGGTCCCATCACTTCATGGCAGATAGATGGGGAAACAGTGGAAACAGTGGCTGACTTTATTTTTATGGGTTCCAAAATCACTGCAGGTGGTGATTGCAGCCATGAAATTAAAAGACACTTACTCCTTGGAAGGAAAGTTATGACCAACCTCTGCATATTAAAAAGCAGAGACATTACTTGGCCAACAAAGGTCCATCTAGTCAAAGCTATGGTTTTTCCAGTATTCATGTATGGATGTGAGAGTTGGACTATAAAGAAAGCTGAGCACTGAAGAATTGATGCTTTTGAACTGTGGTGGTGGAGAAGACTCTGAGAGTCCCTTGGACTGCAAGGAGATCCAGCCAGTCCATTCTAAAGGAGATCAGTCCTGGGTGTTCATTGGAAGGGCAAATGTTTAAGCTGAAACTCCAATACTTTGGACACCTGATGTGAAGAGCTGACTCATTTGAAAAGACCCTGATGCTGGAAAAGATTGAGGGCAGGAGGAGAAGGGGACAACAGAGGATGAGATGGTTGGATGGCATCACTGACTCAATGGACATGGGTTTGGGTAGGCTCCGGGTGTTGGTGGTAGACAGGGAGGCCTGGCGTGCTGTGGTTCATGGGGTTGCAAAGAGTCAGACACGACTGAGAGACTGAACTGATACTGATAGCATAGGGAAGTATACTCAGTACTGTGTCATAACCCACACATCTATATCTATATATCTGAATCACTGATTGTACACCTGAAACTGACATGGCATTGTAAATCAACTATACTTCAATTAAAAAAGCAAAAAATATTTACAATACTAAGTTCTAACAATCATGTGGAGCAGGTGGAACGCTCATCAACTTCTTGTGGAAATGCAAAATAGTACGGCCACTTTGTAAAACATTTTGGTAGTTTCTTATAAATGTGTGTGCATGTTGCTCAGTCGTGTCCGACTCTTTTGTGAACCCATGGATGATAGCCCCCTAGGCTCTTCTACCCATGGGATTTTTCAGGCAAAAATATTGGACTGGGTTACCATTTCCTACTCCAGGGAATCTTCCAGACCCAGGGATCGAATCTGGCAGGTTAAATCAACTTCAGTACTGGCAGGTGGATTCTTTACCAACAAGCCACCAGGGAAGTCAAAAGATACCTTACATTCATGCAAAATCCTATATGCAAATGTTTGTAGGAAGTTTATTCATAATTGTTCCAAACTGGGAAAATCCAAATATCCTTTAGTGAATGGGTAAACAACCTGTGAAACATCCACATAGTGGACTTAGGACTCAGCAATAAAATGGTACAAACAACACACAGAAACATGAATGAATCTCAAATGCATTATGCAAACATGTTGTAAACTTTTTTTGGTCATGCCATGAGGCTTGTGGGATTTTAGTTTGTGGATGAGGGATTAGACCCCATCCCTCAGCAGAGAGAACATGGTGTACCAACCACTGGACTGCCAGGGAATTCTCTGTTGTAATTATTAAGTCTTTACAAAAACCCTGCTATGTAATAAATGAATCAGTTGGGGCCAAAATACCATACTAACTTGATATACAGCATCATTCATTTTAAAAATATGTGAAAAGCACTTGAACAGTTGAAAAATTTAAAACACCTCTCCTTGAACTTCTCTTTCCATTGCACTTACCCCACAGACTTTTAATCTGATGAAATATCATTTCATGCTCAAAAGTCTTTTATTCATGACTTTTTCATATTGCTATGCAATGAGAACATGAGTATAAATTAAAATTTGCCTTTTCATTTACTGTGATCATAAGACTGTAGGAATAAAATGTTTTCCTTTCGATTGATTTTTCACTCCATTTGTTATTTAAATAACATAATAATAGTAATGAATATATAAATAAATACATTGAAATTATGGATAAATAAAATTTATTGATAAACAAATTCCATAGGTAATGCAACTCAATTATATGTAAGTAAATGGGATCAAATGGAGTTTTGTTATAGGTATGTCACTTGGTTCTTTGAACTTCTAGCAAGTTGCCCCCCAATCACATAATACTGTGTAATAAAAATTTATTTTAATGATCTAGTTAAATGTTTAAGAAGGTTTTATTAAGCCCTCTTTCAATTTTCATTTAGGCATACAACTGGAAACCTTACCCTTGAAAATAACTTGTTTCCTGGTAATTAGAATACTGATCACAAATCACAAGTGATTTTCTTAATTTCTGGAAAGTTTACCAAAAAGGTTTTAAGGGTATTTGCCAAATGATCAAAGATGTTATTGATTACACCCATTCCTCTTAGACACCTTATATAATCTTATATGTTCTGTAGATGTTGGAAAGCTTGAATACTATTAACCTGATTGAACTTTGATAGCATATTTTCATAAAATGCATTAATCTTAGTGCAGTCTTTAAGTACATTAAAAAAATATTTGATGCTACAGATTTAATGCACTATATTTGTGGAAAAATGTTAACCAAATTGTCTAATTGGCAAAGTCAGTCCTCAGTCAACCAAATCAAGTGACTTTCTTCCATTAAAAGATTGAATTAATTTTTCAATTGAAATGTTTTAATACACACCGCTTTGGCAACCATCATTCTTCTGAATTCTAATTCTATTGTCCAAACAATTCCCCTTCCAATCAAAATGAATTCATTCTGTTTTAAAGTTTCCAGATTTAGCAAGTACAAATAAATGATGACCAGTTCAATTTGGGGGGTTCTTTTGGCTGTGCTATACAGCTGAGGGCTGAAGAATTGGTGCTTTTGAACTGTGGTGTTGGAGAAGACTCTTGAAGAGTTCCTTGGACTACAAGGAGATCCAACCAGTCCATCCTAAAGGAAATCATTCCAAAATATTCATTGGAAGGACTGATGCTGAAGCTGAAACTCCAATACTTCGGCCACCTGATGCAAAGAACTGACTCATTTGAAAAGACCCTGATGCTGGGAAAGATTGAGGGCAGGAGGAGAAGGGGACGACAGAGGATGAGATAGTTGGGTGGCATCACCAACTCAATGGACATGAGTTTGAGTAAACTCCGGAGTTGGTGATGGGCAGGGAAGCCTGGCATGCTGCAGTCCAGGGGGGTCACAAAGAGTCGGACACGACTGAGCAACTGAACAGATTGACACAGCATGCAGGATCTTAGATCCCCAACCAGGGATGGAACCCATGCCCTCTGCAATGGAAGTGCAGAGTCCTAGCCGTTTGACCTCCAGGGAAGTCCCAACCAACTCAGTTTGAGTGTCAGATAAGCAATGAATAATTTTTGGTGTAGCTACAGTCCTTACATTGCATGGGATATGCTTATAGTAAAAATGATAATTGGACATCCTATATTATATTTGGCAATCTTATTCATCTGTATCCTTCCCTTTACCCCTTTTCAGGAGTTCTGCTTCCTGCTAACTGACTATAGGCTAATCCGATCAACTAACTTTCTAGAGTTAATAGGTGTTACTTCCCTGGTGGCTCAGTGGTAAAGAATCCGCTTGCCAACGCAGGAGACTTGGGTTCGATCCCTGGGTTGGAAAGATTCTCTGGAGAAGGAAATGGCAACTCACTCCAGTATTCTTGCCTGGAAAATTTCAAGAACATAGGAGCCTGGCAGGCTACAGTCCATGGAGTCACGAAAGAGTCAGATCTGACTTAGCAACAACAACAACAACAACAACAACAGCACACTTTGGCATAAAAACTTTCTCTCTTCCCTCCCCTCTTCCTTTCTGTCTTCTTCCCTTCCTTCTTTCCTCCTTCTCTTGCTATTTTTGAAATTTACTCCAAGAGAGGCAATACAGTAAGACATTATCAGTTCTTCACATTATTGAAAAAAATATAGGAAAATACATAGAAAATGGAGACGTAAGTAAGTGGGGGAAGATGTCCGTTTATCTGGTTGTCTGGGCATGTCATAGGCTCTCCTAGGCTTGGATAACACCAGAAGGGATAAGAGGGACCCCTTTGTTGACCTTGGGCTTCCTTTGTGGCTCAGCTGGTAAAGAATCCGCCTGCAGTGCAGGAGACCTGGGTTTGATCTCTGGGTTGAGAAGATCCCCTGGAGAAGGGAAAGGCTACCACTCTAGTATTCTGGCCTGGAGAATTCCATGGACTGTATAGTCCATGGGGTTGCAAAGAGTCAGACATGACTGAGTGACTTTCACTTCACTTTGTTAACCTCAGAACAACTGGCATCTTTTTGGCTCTTGGGGCACTAAAACCCAGTGGGATATGCCCAGGCCTCCCTGCAAATCTCATATCATCATCAGTTTCTTGTTCAGTGGAGCAAAGAAAAGGTTCTCACTAGTGTCTGGGGTTGCCCCAGGACTGACTGTGGGCAAATCAACTTTGCGTTCCAGACAGGTCCCTGTGATCATTCATGTGTGGCCTCTCACCTGGGAGCAAGACAATGGGCAAGTGTCTGGGTAGGTAATGTACAGCCCCCAGCAGAGCGTGGGGCCCCTGGGAGGGTGTTGGGGCTGAGGGACCTGCCCTGCTTGCCACGTGACCGACCCCACATGATGCGCCTGGGTTTTCTCCTCTGTGAACTAAGGGAATTGGTGGATCAGCTCCAAGGTTCATCTGCAGATGCTTGTGTCTCTCTGGCTTGTGCCTGATCCCTGCCCTCTTCTCTTCCCCTTCCACAGGCATGTTCCTCTCCACAGCTCCATCTTCTCCTGGAGGAATGTCGCCCTCTTGCTGCTTTTCTTCCTCTCTTTGGAGCAGACATCTGCCTCACCAAGCTACAGAGCCAAAAGTGGGTTCGGAAAAGCTGCAGCTGCTCTTCTTTGGAAGGCAATCTTGGGGACTGAGGATTAGACACGAGGCCAGGACTTGCATCAGAGGAGGCCACTATGATGGTGGCTTCAGAGAACTAGCCTTACTCACCTGTCCTGAGCCCTTTAAATCCTTCCCTCACCTGCTTCCCCCCAAATTATTTCCCGACTTTTCCTGATACATGTCTTTTCCAAGTTTAATTTTTGAAAACTTGTCAGTTGCTAGGCAGGACTCTGAGGGCAGAAGACGGATGAGGAGGCTGGTGCAGTAGTTGAAGGGAGAGATGGGAGAAGGTTGGGCTTCCCTAGTAGCGAGAGTGGTGAAGAATCCACCTCTCAAAGTAGGAGGTGCAAGAGACAGAGGTTCAATCCCTGGGTTGGGAAGATGCCCTGGAATAGGAAATGGCAGTCCACTCCAGTTTTCTTGCCTGGAAAATCCCATGGGCAGAAGAGCCTGGCAGGCTATAGTCCACGGGGTTGCAAAGTGTTGGACGTGACTTGGTGACTGAGCACATAAAGCGCACGCGGGAGGTCAGATGCTGAACTGAGGAAGTGGACCAAAGAGGGAGAAGAGACGGGATTTAAGAAGTTGAACTGACCCAAGTCCATGACTGGTAGGATGCTGGGGGTGATGGCGAGTGAGGGAACTGAATCTCAGGATTCTAATAACAGAATAGGGGGCTGTTGATGCCAAATATCAAGATGGACACAGAGAGAAGGTGCTGTTTGGACATGGGGAGATGCTAGTTCCATTTTGTCTTCTTATTGTTCTTTTAACTGAAGTTTAGTTGATTTACAAAGTTGTGCCAATCTCTGCTGTACAGAAAGATGACTCGTATATACACACGCATATATATTCTTTTTAATATTCTTTTCTATTATGGTTTGTTCCAGGGTATTGAATATCATTCCCTGGGCTATATATTAGGATTTTGTTGTTTATCCACTCTAAATGTAATAGTTTGCATCTACTAACCCCAAACTCCCTCTCCATCTCCTTCTTTTCCTTCTCTTCCTTAGCAGCCATGGGTCTGTTCTCTATGCCTATGAGTCTGTTTCTGTTCTGTAGATAAGTTCATTTGTGCCATATTTTAGATTCCATGTGTAAGTGATTAGTTCCATTTTAAATATGTTGGAACAGAGGTGTTTATTAGATGCCCAAATGGTGTTTCCCTCAGGCTGTTGGATACAAAGTGTCTTAGCCTGGAAGAGAGGCTAGCTCTAGGAGCTACAGGGACCACGGCTGGGATTGTGGGAATGGGCGTGATCTCCTGGGAAGTGTGAGTGAAGGAATGACAGGAGAGGGCCGATACCATCTTCTTTTCTTGGCTTCAGGCCATCCTTGGAGAGCGCATTAAGTATAGCATGAAGGGGGGATATCCCTGGTGGTCCAGTGGTTAAGACTCTGCACTTCTGATGCAAGGGGCATAGGTTCGATCCCTGTTAGGGCAGCTGAGATCCCACATGCTTTGAGGCTTGGCCAAGAAAATAATAAATAAATACATCTTTTTAAAAAGGGTAGTATGAAGGGCAAGAATATATTTGGAAAGCACTAGAAGTCTCACTGGCCAGTCCTCACCAAAGAAGTGGGTCTTCTGGAAAAAGCCATGGATTGGAAGTCCCAGATCTGTCCTCAATTCACTGTATTATTCTACGTGACCTCTCTTTTTCTTATTTTAACCTATTAGATTAGGAAGTTGATATCAATGATAAATATGTTTTTTCTAATTCTAAACTTCTGTAATTCCAAGATTCAGTAGTATCCAAAAGAGTCATGTCTCTCTGGTCAGATTCCACCAGAGAGATGCTCAGTTTTGAGACATGGAGCCACAATAAATATTGTATCAGTTATCTTGCTGCCTAACAAATTACCTGTACGTTGGAAGTCTGGCATGGAGTGTTGAGGTTCTCTGCTCAGGTTCTCACCAGACTGAAATCAAGGTGTCCATCAAGGCTGCCATTCTTATATGGGACTCAAGGGTCTCCTCCCATCTCATTGGTTGTTAGCAGAATCATTCCTGGCAACTGTTTAGCACTGAGGTTTCCTTACTGGTTGTCAACTTTTAGCAGCCACCCTCATTCCTAGACAATTAGCCTCTTCCATCTTCAAAGCTACAAATAGCAGGCCAGATTCCTCTTATACTTCAAATACCTCTGACCTCTTCTCTACCAATCAGGAAAAAACCTTCTTTTTAAAAGACTTAACAGATTGGGCTGAACTCTAGTTGCTCCTTGCCTCTCTGGGAGGCTCTCTACAATCAGCAGGGGGTTCTCACCTTGCCTCCTTTCAAATCACTGCTTCTGCCCTGGGTCCCAGAGCAGGTGAGATTTTGTGTGTGCCCTTCAACAGTGGAATCTTTTTCACAGCCCTCTGCTTCTCCTGAAAGTAAGCCCCACTGGCCTTTGAAGTGAAGCATTCTGGGTCTTGTCTTCCTGGTATAGGACTCCTATGTTGGGGAGCCCAATGTGGGACTCAGATCCCCTCACTTCCTGGTGATAATCTCTGCAAATTGTAATTATCCTCTGTTTGTGGGTTGCCCACCTGGGGTATAGGTCTTGAGTAGGCATATCTGTCCCTCCTACCCATCTTGTTGTGGTTCCTTCTTTGTATGTTTCATTATAGATGATCTTTTCTGTTAGTCTTCTGGTCTTTCTCATGCAGAGTTGCTCCATGAAGAGCTGTAATTTTGGTGTGCCCATGGGATGAGGTGAGCTCAGAGTCTTCCTACTCTGCTATCTTAATCCTTCTAAACAGCCTATAAAGTAGAGGTTGTAATTCTCCTTCCATAGATGGGAAATTTATAACTCAGACAAAGGAAGACATTTCCCCCAAGATTATTTAGCTGTTGTGTAGAGTCAAGCATCTAAGCCAGAGTTGTCTCATTTATAGTGATTCTTCCACTTCATTATTTCTTCCGCCTTAGAGATAACTGCAGAGTCATAGAGTGGAACTCAGATTGGTCTTGAATTCACAAGGAGTCAGGAACCAAAATCAGGGCTCCTGACCCCTACATCCATGGTATTTCCACCACTCCTCACTAATTAATTTCCCTTATCAACTAAGATACAGGAGGCAGAGGAATTAGGCATTAAAATAATCAGTTTTAAGAGGAGAAAGGAGATCCTGAATTTAAGACTAGGGTCTTGATCCCTATAAAACCCCCTGCCCTGGAATCTGAATGGATAAAGAAAATGTGATATATGTATATGTATTATTATTACTCAGCCATAAAAAGACGGAAATAATGCCATTTGTGGCAACATGGATAGACCTAGAGATGATCATGTCTTGTGAAGTAAGTCAGAGAAAGACAGATGTGATTTTGCTTATATGTACAATCTAATTAAAAATAATGTAATGAATTTAGTCATGAAACAGAGACAGACTTACAGATTTTGAAAGGTGCTTCCCCTTTGGTTCTACCTGGACACAAATTCCTGATTCAGATCTACCTAAATGTGTGAAGAGTGGTGAGAGGCAGACCCTGAATACAAGCAGAGTGACAGTTAAGAATTGAAGGTAGAGTATAGGACTGAAAGAGTCTCACTATCCACTTTTTTCCATGGGCCAATAAGAGCTGAAACTCTCAAAAGATATGAATTTAGACATTTCTTTCTTACAGATAAGCCAGGAGAGTGCCTCCAAGAAAGGATCACCTGTAATTCTAAAGCCCCAGACTTATGCAAAACAGATTTCAATTGCGATGAACACCTCAAGTGCTGCTCTTTTGCCTGTGGGAAGAAGTGCATGGATCCATATGAAGGTAATGCCATCCAGGCTGAGAGCAACTGTGTCTTGTGAGGTGTCCTATTTCCTACCCTGTCAAGATGTGGTGGAATGATTCCCTTGAACGTTGGGATAGGGAGGCCAGGGTTCAAGCTTTTTGCCTTTTCTAATGAGACTCCCAACTCTCAAGCGCAAACAATGAGTCTAGGCATGGCGGACATCAACTGATGCTCTTGAAGTTACTCTTCTTTGGTCCAACGTCCAATCACTTCCAGTAACTAATGCTTGCTGCTTGTTCACTGTGTGTCAAGAAACTATTGTTGGCACTGTGGCAAGTATCAACCTCAGTCAGTTCAGAGGCTGGAGTTGTTTTCTGATTCTTTGCCCTTCGAGGAGGTTTTCTGGTAATTCAAAGTATCTAATAATAAGGAACTGTGCATTTTGTATAGATTCACTCATTCATTCATTCATTCATTCCTTCAACAAATAAGTAGTATCAATGCCCTTTGGTTAAAGGCCACCAGGAACAGACCTGTAGTTGAACAAGTTGAGCTAATTACTTGCTGCAGTGAGGGAGAAAGTTCACCACAGACAATTTGAGGTTTCTCAAGAAGAAGCTGTTAGGAAGTGTCTACTACAGGATTAAGGCTTTGATTGGGGAATTTGGGGGAAGCTCTAAGGAAGTGGGAATTCACCCTAGATTGGGTGCTGTCAGAAAGTGGGGGAAGTTGTGTAATTATCCTGGTAAATCTCTTCAATAGAGTGGGAAGACTAGAATGAGGATAAAGCCGTAATTGGTAGAGAAACATACATCACTCATAGGTGTTTGGTATTTTGTAGGTTTCACAGTGACCTTTTTTTTTTTTTGGTCCCACTCTATCACCTCAGAGTAACTTTGTTTGAAGTGGATGTCCTGTGGGATTATGTCCAACAAGAGAACAATATGGCTTAACTGTGAGCATCAGATCAATTTCCAGACAGAGAGGGACTGCTCTTTTTCTGTCTTAGTACCTCATTCTTCCTATGTGCCAGATGCTTTGATAGGCAGTTTGGATATAGTTCTTGAACAAGTCTTTCCCTCTCAAAACTCAAAGCAGTGAAGAAGCAAGATCAGCTCTGAATCTTTCTTATATGCTCTTTGTGACCTCCTTTGCAACGTAGGAAGAATGCTCAGAGATGTTAAAGAGTGACCATATAGAGCTACGACCAGAACTTTTATTGATCATGGCTCTTTCTATAACTTGGATAAAAACACCTTGAACTATACAAAAGCTGAGGGCCTAACCCCTTCCTTTTTTGCTACCCTTATGTTCTTCCCTCTCTGTCTCCTGTCTCAGAACCCTGCTTGTTACCCTTAGACAAAGGACACTGCAAGAAAACAGTCAAGCAGTGGTATTTTAACACCAAACAGCGTGTATGCAAACCCTTTTTTTATGGAGGCTGCCTTGGGAATGCCAACAGCTTCTCCAAGAAGGAGGACTGCATGAAGGCTTGCTCATCAGTTGGTAAGCCGCATACCCTTGGCAATCTGTGAGCCTAGCCTGACGAGAAATAGTATACCATCCCAGTTGCAGATTCAGGCTTTGAAGTGAAACTGCCTTGGTTCAAATCTCTGTTGTGTCATTCACTGGCTGGGTAATCTTAGTTTTGTGTCTTTCATGAGTTTTAGTTCTCCTGTCTATAAAGTGGAAAAAATAATAGTCTTTACCTAATGGAGTTGTGCCAAAAAATGAGGTAGTGCACATCAACTGTTGGTAAACTTTGGCCAGTGGAACCTGAGAGTCAGGCCAACACTTTGGAAACAGGTTATTTCCTCATGACATTGACCTGCTGAATATTACCTAAGGACTCACCCAAGAATGAAGCATAGACAGGCCAGCTCTGGAATCCCATGAAATAGGGATGGAGCAGGGAGGAGGTGAAGCGTGGAGCAAGACAAGGGTGACCCTGGTGGCTCAGATGGTAAAGAATCTGCCTGCAGCCCAGGGGACCCAGATTCGATCCCTGGGTCAGGAAGATCCGCTGGAGACGGGAATGGCAACCTACTCCGGTATTCTTGCTTGGAGAATTCCATGGACTGAGGAGCCCCGGGGGCTACAGTTCATGGGGTCAGAAAGAGGTGGACATGACTTTCACTTTCAGAGTGGTCTAAAGGTAAAGTCTGTGGATTAATTCTTGTGCAATGACCAGTAGTGTTGGGTGACAGCGTGATACAGAGCTTAGGAGTCGAAATACTGGCTAGAAACCTGTCTTTCTCACTGCAAATTTCTTCACCTCTTTTAGAGTTTCAGTTCCTCCCCTTGTAATACTGGAATAATAGTATTGGAATACTGGAATAGTATCTCATTGAATTGTTGACAGGCTCATGTATTATCAAGGACACAGAGATTTGACAAGGTTACGTGGGCTCACCAAGGAGGAGGAGGAGGAGAGCAGGAAGGAGAATGATGAAGACAAGGAGAAAAAAACATTTCCTGCTGTCAGGGAATGTACAATCCGATGAGGGCAAACAGAGACATGTACATGCATCCTTGATGCCTGTCTTTCTCAACCAACATCCTTTGTTAAGAAGTCATTTTAGACTTATCTGGAAAATAGATCCAGAATCTGATCAGTTCTTATCACATCCACAGCTGCCACCCTAACCTGACGTGCCATCTTCTCATCTGGATTAATCGCAATGACCTCCTAATAGATCTCCTTGTTTCTCTCCTTCCCTTCTTACAAGTCTGTTATGAACACAGTAGCCACAGTGATTCTTTCAAAGTTCGAGTCAGATCACGTCACTCCTCCTGCAAAGTAAAGCACGTCCCCTAAAATAACTCACGTGGACTAGTGTGGATGTCACATAATTAATCCTACCTTGTAGAGAAGGAAACCGAAAGCGTTGATTAAGTGGCAGGACGGGGACTTTACCTTGGGGCTTCAAACACCAAGTTTAACTCTCTTTCTACTCCATCTCCTGATACAGCGGGACATTTCATCACTCCACAGCCTCCTAGAGGTGCCTGTGGACAGGGTAGAATGAACCACATCCCAGAAAGAGATACTAGTTTTGAAGAAAAGGAAAAGCTGTTTGAAGGGTGATGGGAGAGGATGGGGTTTGAAGGAACTCACATCTGCTTTCATTTCAGTCAAGGATGGACAGTGCCCACTCTTCCCTTTTAAGAACCGTATGGAGTGTTCAGCTTCATGTAAGAGTGACTACGATTGCCCCTTAAATGAAAAATGTTGCGAATCCATGTGTGGCTTTGCTTGTGTCATGGCCTGGACAGGTAAGGCCTGGGGATATACTTCCCAAAGTCTAGACTGTTGTGCTATTCTTCCAAGCCAATCTTGCATGGTAACCCTCTTCATATTTCTCAATGAAAATGTATTTATTTCAAGTCTCATTCTTCAATGACATTCTTCAATGTCCTACAATGTGACAGTATCCACTTATTCACATAGAAAATTCATAACCATTCATAGGTATAATTCAGATAAATCCTATGTCTGCACAGAACTTCATGTAAAGTGTGCAGGGGAAAAGATGGGTAGCAAAGTGCTGTTGAGTAGAAGCGACCTCTTCCTCTATAGATGCTATTCATTCCCTCATGTAGTGCTAAGATACTGTGGTCTTGTCCCAGGAATTGTCAGTGTTTTGAGGAACAACATGGTATGGTGGAAGGAGTCAAAGGCTTTTCAACTAACTTCAACTTTCCTGCTTGTTTTCTGTGTGACCTTAGGCAACTCAATTCCCCCCTATATGGTCCTTCGTATCTACAGTTTAGAAAACAAGGACGTTCTTGGTGTTCTCTAATACTCCTACTTCTGGTACTCTGGGATTAGATAACCCAGATCTATTAGTTGTGTAGAGTCAATTAGGAATCGTATCAGATTTTATAAATCAGAGTTGGCAAGACTTTTTTCCTGCCCATTTAAAAAAATTATTTATTTTTAAATGAAGGATAATTGCTTTACAGTATTGTGTTCATATCTGCCAAACATTAACATGAATCAGCCATAGGTACTCATATGTCTCCTCCCTCTTGGCAAGACTTTGATTCTCCTCAAATAATTATTAAAATTATCAAATAGAAGTCGATACTCCACCTATTCCACCTTACTGTTACTCTAGGGGGGAGGGTAAGAGACTTAATTAGAGGAAAATCTTATTTAAGGTTCCCAAGGTTCCCCTAATTTATCTCAAAGTATGGTCAAGTATTTCAAGGTCAAGTGTTTTGTTTTACCTCATAAAGTCAAAGCAGGTTTCTGCCCAAACAAGCCGCCAGTATGCAGCATGATTGACAGACCCAGGTGCCTGCTGGATGATGATTGCCCACTGACAGCAAAGTGCTGTTCACGCTGTGGACTAAAGTGCATGGAACCCCTGAAATGAATAGTAAGTTTAAAATGTTATCATCAAAGTAATTCATGATGAGTGGTATAATAAAAGGGCTTCCCTTGTGGCTCATGTGGTAAAGAATCCGCCTGCAACTTGGGAGACCTGGGTTCTATCCCTGGGTTAGCAAGATCCCCTGGAGAAGGAAAAGGCTACCACCCACTTTAATATTCTGGCCTGGAGAATTCCATGGACTGTATAGTCCATGGGGTTGCAAAGAGGTGGACACGACTGAGTGACTTTCACTTTCGGTATGATAAAAAGCTATCAATTTTGTCTTGCATCCGACTAGTTTGCCAAATGGCCTTATTAAGCATAACAATATTTATTGGGGTTACTTTGATTTTTATATACAATCATATAATCTGAAAATGATGATAGATTTGATTTTTTTTTTCCTACTTCATGACTTACTTTTTTAAAATTTCTGGGCTTTTTATATTATATAGAACCTCTGAAATAATGTTGAGAATAAAGTCAATAAGCTCTAGCCCTGTCCAGTTCTTTATTTTAAAGTCAGTGGCTCTGGCTGTATAAATGACATTTGTTGTTGGGTTTGGGACAAGTAGGTTTTATTACCCTTGAGTCATTTCCTCTTTAATCCATTTAAAGCTGCTGTTGAAAATTACTGCTAAATTTTGTCATATATTTTTTCAGCATCTAGTGATGCAATTAATTTTTTCTTGTAATTTGTTGGTATAAAAACTTACACAATTTTTTCAATACCTTTAAACCATGAAATTTCTGCACCTGGTCTTATGCCTCTGGGTATGTTCCAGTGTCTCCTACCTTATAGTTTATGGGAACTTAAATAGAATCTGTATCCTACTGTTGTGTGAAAGTGGTATAAATTTTAATTACATTAAGTTGGTTCGTAATGCTTTTCAACTAGAAGAAGTCTACTATCTTCATCTACTTCTCTGTACATGCATTCTATTAATTTCTAAGAGTTTGATATTGAAACCACAACTAAAAATCTTAATTTATCTACTTAAAACAAACAATTGTTATAGTGGAATTATATGTAACTTTGTTCTGTATTTTCCAAGTCTCCTGTAAATGTGTTATCATATTTTCATAATTTAGAAAATTAAAAAGAAAGACAAACTTACACAAATTTTCATATGTTGAACCATCCTCATACTCCTAGAATGACCTTAATCATGTTGAAGGTATAATTGAATTAATACATTGTTGGTTCTTTTAGCAAATAGTTTATTTAGAATTCCCATATCTATAGTTAAAAGAAAAAACTAGGCCTATGATTTTTGTGTGCTTTGCTATTTGAGTCATATTACCTCAGAAAACTAGCATGGAAGACTATTTGTGAAACTTGCCTATTTTCGGTTCCTTCTATAATAGTATATGTACTTATAATATATATATTTTAGGTTAGATAGGATTTTTTTCAATTGAGGTATGCAATTGATTTACAATGTTAGTTTCAGTGACTCAGTTATATATACATACATATGTAAATATCATAATGGTATATTTTTACTTATTTTTTGATACTTCATCCTAGAGTTTGTACAGGTTTTCTACCTCATCTGTAAGTTTTGGTCTATTTTGCTAAAATTGATCAGTTTTCTCCCTATTTATAAATGTATGACTTTGTAGCAGTATAAATTATTCTGTATACCGTTCTTTTCTTTTCTTTAACTTCAGTTAATATTTTCATTCATGTTTCCGCCCCACCTACCTATCCACCAACCACTCAGTCCATTTATTCACCCATCCATCCTCTCACTTTGCCCTCTGTTGACATACATTTCAACTAATTTATCTCTGCACCCATTCTTTCACCCATATATCCATCCAACTTACCCTTCTCACTCATCTACCTTCTACCTGTTCAGCTGCCCAATTTATATCCAATCTTTCTTCCATCTACCTATTTATCTACCTACTTATCTTTCACACTCACACATTTCTCTCATATCCATCAGTGTACTTCTCCATCATTTCTACATCCACCTTTCTTCCTTACACCCACCAATCACTCATATGCTTTTCATTCAAACAACTTTCATCAATAGACCCATTCATCGCATCACTAACCTATCCATCCTTTTATCCAATCCAGTTTACTTCTTGGCCCAGCCATCCATCGACCCATCCATATCCATGCATTCATGCACTTAAATATTCATGCTACCCTCACCCTTTCTTCTTCCTGCCAATCCAACCACCTTCCCATTTATCACACCTTGGTCCATCTATCCATCCACATGTCCACTTACCAATCCTGCACCTACATAGCTCATTCAACAGAATGTACTGAATATTTATTCTGGGCTTATTCATGTTCTAAATATGAAGTTCTACAACAAAGACATACTGTATATCACAGAGAACTCTGCTCAATACACTCTAATTACCTAAATGGGAAAAAAATTTGAAAAAGAACAGATACATGCATATGTACTAGGAATCACTTTGCTATACACCTGAAATTGATACAACATTGTTAATCAACTGTACTCTGATATAAAATAAATTAAAAAAAAATGCAAACCCCAGACTTCCCTGGAGGCACAGTGGATAAGAATCTGCCTACCGACGCAGGGGACATGGTTTAATCCCTGGTCCAGGAAGATTCCTCATGTTGTGAAGCAGCTAAGTCTGTGTACCACAACTACCGAGCCCTTGAGCTACAGGTACTGAACCCCATGTACCTAGACCCTGCGTTCCCCAACAAGAAAAACCACCACAGTGAGAAGCCCACACACCACAGTGAAGAGTAGCCCCCGCTCACCACAACTAGAGAAAAGCCCGAGAGCAGCAATGAAGACCCAGTGCAACCGGAAATAAAATAAATTAAATAAATAAGATTAAAAAAATGTAAGCTCTAGGATCTAGACACAGACCTGTTCAGAGGAGCTCAGAGTTTCTTTGGGAAACCAACATGGCACTCAGTGATTAAGTCAAAGGCACAGGGAACAAGATAGAAAGCCAGGGACTGGAAGTCACCCTGTGATAAGTCTTGGTCTAGTGAAGAAGCCGAAGTTTCCAGGTAGAGGCTATCTACCTTGGTGTCCTTTGGAGTCCCTCATTCCGAGCACAAGATCGGCCCTAGGACAGAAGTGTGGCTAAGGCAGAGGTAGGGCACACTGCCCATTGGTGAGACGCCATAGGGAAGAAGGGACAAAAATCCAGGTGGATCCTTACTCCAGCCTTCTCCAAGAAATTAGATGAAGGAATGGTCCCCAAGCAACATTGATCCAAGGCCCCCAAAATGTAAATTTCATCTCACCTGCTTCTAAAGTGAGACTTTTGGATAAGGCTGAAAATTTAACAAGACACAATGGGATAGAGCAACCAGAAATACTGAGATTTATTTTTAAGAAAATTTAGAGAAAAATTTAGTCATATTTGGGAACCCTGGGAACCACTTGGACACTTACAGACTCTGCTGGCCTTTAATTTCTCTGTGTTTGCTCAGCCGCTCAGTCATGTCCAACTCTTTGGAACCCCGTGGACTGTAGTCCACCAACCTCCTCTGTCTATGGGATTCTCCAGGCAAGAATACTGGAGTGGGTTGCCATTCACTTTTCCAGGGGATCTTCCCAACCCTGCGTCTCCCGCACCTCCCACATTGGCAGGCAGATTCTTTACCATTGCACTACTTGGGAAGCCCTGGTCTTTAGCCTGTGTCGCCACTAAAATATTACTTTCCTCCTCTTTAGATTCACCATTCCGCTCTACCTTCAACTCTCTACTAAAACAGTATATCCACACCAATGCAGAAGATTCTCTCATGACCTCTAGCAAGGGCTTAGGAACTCAACTCTCTCCTAACTTTATTTCTGACACTCACTTGCTAGGTGACGTTGAGTTGGCATCTTCACTTCTCTGAAAGTGAGATCTCTAGCTGTAATTTGAGGAAATGGAACTTGATGGGCCCCCAGAGTTTTCCCACTTAAGTATTTCAGCTTTCTATTCCCCTGGGCTGAGTTTGGGAGAATGCAAGTAGTAGAATAAGAAGGACACTACTGCTTAAGACATCTTGGTGGTTCATTAAAAATTCTGTTCCCTAGTTTCTTTGTGGGATCTGGTGAGATCATGTAGTTGGTGGGAAAGTATTCTGTAGTGCCTGATGTTAAGATTTTGATTGTTGGGGCATCCATTTTGACGACATCCCTCTTGAATAAACATTGCCAGTTATTTGACACAGCAAAACAACCAGGCAAGGAGCCAGGCTGCCCCCTTCTGTGAAGTTTCCCTCTTAGAAAGGCCAGGAACTGAAACTGTGTTCAAGCCCCTGTGTCCTTGTCTTTTGAAGTAAAATATTGACTCAAGAGTTAATAGTTGGGAAATGTGAAGATGCAGAAACAAAGAATAGCTATTGACTGGGGAACTGGTAACATTGTTGACTATAATTCTGTCACAAAGCAGAACTCCAGAATTCCCAGTTCCTTGAAAGATACAGATGAAGGCCTGGCGCAAGTTCCTAAGTTGTTTTTACAGGAAGCAGATGAAAACTGCTCACAAGAATATAGACCCTAGACTGGTTGAATCAGGACATTGAAGATGCTTGAAACTTCACCTGGATGCCAGTCAATCTGAAGATGGTCCACAAGCTGATCAGGCCCTGCTCCTTGAACACTATAGAGCTCCTGTCTACCTCGCCCAGGGTGGGTTACCCAGTCTTGAGGGCATTAGACCCCTGTGGACCCCTTCCCCTGGCAAAGCAATAAAAGCTACTCTTTTCTATTTTACCCAAAACTCTTGTCTCTGCCTTTCTATTCGGCACAGGTGAACAGAGGCTGAGTTTTGGCAACATGACCTAGATGACTAACCACTGCATGACCTGGTTTCTCCCTTCCATGCCCTCATTCCTGCTTTCATGCTTTAAACTCACCAATAAAGATTGAAGTCTTAAGATTTTCCTGTGGTCCAGTCTTTAAGAATCCACCTTCCAATGTAGGGGATGTGGGTTCAATCCCTGGTTGGGGAGCTAAGATTCCACATGCCATGGGGCAACTAAGCCCAATGCTGCAACTAGAGAGCCCACTCGCTCTAGAATCCATGCTCCACAAGAGATTCCCAGCTACTGAGCCCATGCAATGCAGAAAAAAAAAAGGGGGGGGGAGGGGCAGAAATTGTTTGTTTTTTTTAAAAGAGTGAAACGTTAGACACTCCATCTTGAACCCTAATAAAGGCAGATCCCCTGTTCTACACTTTCTTCATCTTTCTCTGCTTGCGATCTTAACTGTGTGGCCCTAGGGCCTGTCATGTACCCTCCAGGACTTGTGAATAGTAAAAACCTTGTTCTGCAAAGTTCCATTATAAAAGTACAATTCAACTGAGTAAATTTGAAGGTCAAACTGGCTTTCTTAGCTGACTGATGAATTGAGTAGCATCCACCATGGTGCTAGAAGGTGCTCCAAGGGGTTGTACGAAACGGAGGGTTTTTATAGGAAGAGTTATGAGGCAAGGGAGCTATAAGCAAAAGAAAAGAAAAGATTACTTTTAGACCAGGATGTGCTTTTGGAGGAAAGAGAATCAAGGGTCCTTATCACACAGATTGCCTGTTCTTGGGGAGTGGGACGCATGGAGACGGCCCACGTGACAGATTGCCTCATTGGTGCTGACCTGGGAATTCCAGACTGATTAATACTACATTTCTGGTGAAGGTCAAACTGCAGTTAGGTTATGTATTAAATCTAGGCTTGGTATCATAGACATGAGCATAAAAGATGCCATTTGTGGCCCGTGGTTTTTCCCTTTAACAGTTCCTTGAGGATTTTGCAGAGATGTGTCCTGCAACCACCCAAAGAACTACAAAGGTTGGTCCAGACCCAACCTCGGCCCTGGTGATGACGGAAGGAATGTCTCTAGGGCTCTCCAACAGTAAATACAGGTTGTCTGAGTGCCTCAGGCAGTCCTGGCCAAGAACATCTGTATCAGTAGGCTCAGACCCACATGATAGATTCCATAGGGACTTTGTCGTGATCCTAGATTTTGTGTCTATAGAGTCAGTCACTGATAATAATGTTGGTTTTTGTCTAGCTTCTCCAGCAGGTAAGACAGTTGGACAATAAAGCTTTGCCCAAATGTGCAACATCTACTTAGGGAAGAAACCAGGGACCCTACTGGTGACATTTGTCTCTCCCTCTACCAGGACTGATTGATGGGCTGGGGTTCTGGGTTCTGTAGCTGAAGGAAAGCTGACAAGTCCTACAGTACCCTCTCTCTCTCTCTCCCACAGCCCCTCCGTTAGTTAGTTAGAAACCAGAAACTCTGCTGTGTTACTGACCTTTACTGAGTTGTGGTCTCTCAGTCAGGTCTCTTCCCTTCACAGTTCCCCATCAGAAAACAGGGAGTTTGCACCAGATGGTAGATGCTCTGTACAAGCTCCGACCTTCCTGACCTTCCCTCCTGCTCTCAGGACAATGCAATCTTGACGAACGTTATCTGCAAACTCTGCTATCAGCCTGCTTCCTCCTCCCCACATCACTCTGGGGCCACATCTTTACTCTGTGGTCTTAGTCAAGGAGTTTGAGTGGAGCGAGCCAAAGAGATAAAGGAGGATGGGAGGCCAGTGTGGGAGAGGGAGACAGAGAAACATAGGGACCATAGGATACCCACAGAAACAAAGAGATACTAAGAGCTCAATAGACGCACATGGATCAAACAAAACAAGACGGGGTGTGCCAGTTACAATGGAAAATGAATAGAGAATGAGGTCCTCCTATAACATCTCTCAAAGTTATCAAGATGAAGACCTCCGATGGTGGCATTCACTCCAAAGCTAACCTGGAAAGTGAGAGCAGCTTTGCCTACTTGCCCTGGTTGACCAGAAGACCCACCTCAGCTGAGGGGGCTAATGATCAAGAGCTACACAATAAGAGACCCTTGCCCAGGACTGTGGGATGTGGATGCCAGCTAGTCACGTTGATGACCTCAGGAACCCAGTGTTCCCATCAGGAAAGGAGGTGGTTGGCTTGACTCCAGTTCTCAAGTATCCAAGATACTGACCACTGAAAGATTAGGCTGGACAAAGGCAGCCAGACATTTTTACGATCTGGAACCACCAGCAGGACAGCTTTCCTTCAGAATGGAGTCTTCTGAACTTTTGAGCATCTTGGTGCTATCCCTCCTTCTAGTGAATGTCCAGGGACCTGCTCTCACTGACTGGTTCTTTCCCCGTAAGTACTGGGGCCTCAGCCCTTGCCCTGGAGGGAAAGAATATGGTTGGGAGGAAGAAACAAGCTTTCCACCACCTTAGTCCTGGCCTGGGTTAGGGATGAGGGAGATATTTGGGTCATTTCTTCCCTTTTTCTTTTCTATGAAAGATCTCTTCAGTAAATGCAAGAATCCAGACCTGGGTATTTTCAGCCCCTTTGAAATGGAAGGTCTTTCTGAGTGGGGCTGGTGTGGTGGGGTGGGCATCACAAAATCTAGCATTTAGGGGAGGGGTTATAAGGATCTGGGATGCCTAAGAGGCTTTTCTCTCACCCCATGACAAAAATAGCCCCCTTTATTGAAATGCTACCTCTATTAACTCCTGATTCTTTCAAATGTAGTTCAAGAGAGTGTTCCCACCTCCCCAGGGATTCCTTGACTTTGGGCTGAAGGATACTATCTGGAAGTTCCTTTGAATTTAAGACAGTAATACTCCATGCCTGGCGTGCTGCAGTCCATGGGGTTGCAAAGAGTCAGACACAACTGAGCGACTGAATAACGACAAATAGAGTAATATTGATAATTGCTACCATTTACTGAACATTCTGAAAGTAGGGATTTAAAGAGAGGGATCTGGAGTCAGACTTGGTGGGTACAAATTCTGCTTAGATTCCCTGTGCTTCAGTTTCCTCATTTGCAAAATGGGGGATATTAATAGAATTAGCTTCATAGAACAATTCTGGGGATTATATGAGATAACGCCTTTAAAGTAGTTGAAAGAGTGCTAGGCTTATGTTTAACTTAACCAATGTTAATATTACTGGGCATCTGTGACCATGATTATAGCTTTACACACTTTGCCTTACTTCTTCCTCACCTCTCTGTAAGGCTAAAAGGATTTTATAAATGAAGAAACCAAAGTTCAGAGAAAGTGGTAAACCAAGAACGAGAATTAAAAAACCCAGTCTGACTGCCAGGGTGAACAATATTTCTGCACAATAGCGCCCCCCAGAGGAACTCCCAAACACTGTTTTCTCAACCAGCCCAAAGCGACTCGATTGGCTTAGACCAGTGGCTTTCAATGGGCGATTTTGCCTTCCAGGGAATATTGACAATGTCTAGAGACTTTTTTGGTTGTCTCAATCAGGGAGTGCTACTGGCAATCTAGTGAGTAGAGGCCAGGGATGCTGCTAAACGTCCTACAATGCCCAGGACAACCCTCCTCTACCCATCAAATAATTACCTAGCCCAAATGCCTCCAGTGCCTAGGTTGAGAAAGCTTGCCTTAGGGGTTGGGGCTAGGGGAAAGAAGGCAGAGAGTGGGGGGTGGTCAGGAGAGAGGTTAGTGCAGGCAGAGCTGGGAAATAAATGAAAGACCCCCAGGAAAAGGACTCCTGGGGATGAGCAAAGTGAAAGCAAACTCCCTTGACTCCCCAGGATTGCCTTGGGTCTGGAGAAGCGAGGGCACTGTGACTGTCAGACTCATGGTTGTTAGTCCTTCCCTAGAGAGATGCCGACCTGGACGGCGGAGCCTGGTGGACTACAGTCCACGGGGTCCTCAAAGAGTCGGACACGACTGAGCGACTGAGCGACTTCACTTTCACTTTCTTTCAGAGAGATGCCCCAGAATCCAGGGTAATTGTGAATTCAAAGAAAGGGATGAATGTTCGAAGAACAAAAAGTGCCTGAAGCATGAGAAGTGTTGCTTCTTCAGCTGCGGAAGAAAATGCTTAAACCTCCAACAAGGTAAATAAACACTGAGAGCCTCAATAACGAACCCCTCTACCCATATCCTCCCCTTCTTCTCTGGGCTGGCCTTGTCCCTGGTTCACTAAGGGCTGGTCTCTGAGCAAGACTGCTGGACTTGGGAAACTTGAAATTTAGATACATCACTGCGCCCAGTATGATGTTTGACATTAAGGAGTATCTTCATCCTGTTGGGTCTCAGATTCCGCAAGCAAAATCTAGGTATAAGGTTGGGATTGAACCGGAGAGTCTCTTGGCTCCTTTCCACTCTTATTATTATTTTTTTACCCTTATGACTTTCTTAGTCTCCAGGGGGCCACTATTGGTTCACAATATATCAATATTGTTGCTGCAAATGATAATTAAAATGTTTGTATTTCTTAAAAATACAAAAAAATAGCTTTTTGCTCCAGATTCACTGCCTGCCTATACAAATCCACTTTAACATTAGGAAATCTTTGCTGACCACTCCAGACCAGAGGGCCTATCCTTTGCTGATGTAGTCTTAACTCCATGCTCATCTACCTCAGCTCCAGAAAGACTATCAAGGATTCTTTTTTTTTAAATTAAAATGTAATGCATATGTATTGCATTATGTAATACATAATGTATATGTATTACATTATATGTAGGGTCCCTTTGCTGTTCACTTGAAACTACCATAACATTGTTAATCAACTGTACTCCAATACAAAATAAAAAGTTTAAATTTTGAAAAAAAAAACACAAAAGTTAAAGTTCCTTACAATGTTTCAGGTGTACAACAAAGTGATTCATATATATATGTATATATATATTCTTTTCAGTTTCTTTTCCATTGTTAATCATTACAAGATGCTGAATATAGTTCTATATGTGCTATACTGTAGGTCCTTGTTGTTTATCTATTTTATATATAGTAGGATGTATCTTTTAGTCCCAAATTCCTAATTTAGCCCTTCTCCTTCCTTTCCCTTTTGGTGACCATAAGTTTGTTTTCTATGTCTGTTGAATCTATTAAGACTATCAAAGATACTTTATTCACTCATTCAAGAAATGTTTGTTGAGTGTCTCTAAGACCTATAATAGGATTTGACCTATTATAAGGAGGTGGAGGAAGCCTTCCCTGAGAAAGTAAAACTAGAGTTGAGTTCAGAAGGATGGGTAGCAAATTTTGGGAAAAAGTGGGTGGAAGGGCTTTCCAGGCACAGGCAATATAGATGTACAAAGTCTTGATGGACTCTGGCATCCCACCATCAAGACTTTGTACATGAGCATGAACATGGTGAAAGGAAAAAAGGATCTTGGTAGGTAGGTTCTTGTTGGACGAGGGTCTCACCTTGATCTTAAGATCAATGGAAATTCAGTGAGGTGGGCGGGCACATTGTATGGCTTTTACTATGCCTATGAGGCAGGAATGGAGTGACTTAAAGAACTTCAAGATGAAAGTACAAATGGCTTCTTGGACTAAGTAGCTGAGAGGGTGGGGAAGAGGCGGATGTGTTTGAAAGGCATGTAGGAAGTGAAGCAAACACGACCTTGACATTGGAGTAGACTGGACAGGCAGGAGGATCGGGGGTTATTCATTTGCCTATAGTTGAGGAATTCTGAATCCAGACTTCCTGAGTTCAAATCTTAGCTCCAGTTCTCACCAGCCTATTTATCTTGGGCAAATCAACCACTTTCCCCCTTGTGATGACTCAGTTTCTAGATAGCAAAAAGACTAATGTTAAAGGTTATTTGAAAGATCATATATGTTTATGCAAGTGAAATGCTTAGGGCAATGCCTGGCATCTAATAGTCATGTGATACATGTTAGCTCACATTATTCAAGCATTCATGACTGGGAGCTCCTATATAACAGAGGCCATACTTTTGTCTCTTTAAGCATTGAGCACATAGTAGGTGCTCAAGGAATGACTTCTTCAGTTCCAGTCAGGATACATTTTGTTTTACCCTCAGCATTTGCAAAATCCTACACTGTGCATGCCCACCTGCTAAGAATGGGGTTCCAAGATGAAATCAGACATGGTCTCTGCTCACTACCTCATAGAAGCTCACAACCTCATAGATGAGACCGAAGATGAAAAAACTGACAGACACACACACACATGACTCAGAAGCACAGTAGAAAAATGCAGGATCGACTTAGGCACCTATGGGGGTGTGGAGTGTAGGATGGAGTTCAAGATGCCATAGTGGAGTTGATGTCTGGGAAGGGTTTTAAAGGAAGAATAAGAGTGTGATTAATGAACGATGGAAGGGTGGCAGAGGGAATATGGAGTGAAAGGTGTAGGGGGTGTGTGTTGAAGATTGTGGAAGCCTGAAGCTCAAAAGGGGACTGTGGTGGGGAGGAGGCCAGAGCACCACACAGGAGCCAAAGGATGAAGTGTCTATAGGTCATAGAAGACCTGCTCATGAAGTCAAGGTCTTAGCTGTGGAATGACACAGTTAGCTTGGTCTCAGATCCGTCAGGTCCTTCTCTCTGGTGGGCAGCAGGAAGGATTGATTGCAGGAGCCAAGGATAGAGGCTGGAAGATCAATCTGAGGCTCTCTCAACAGCCTGAGACTTAAGGAGAGGGGCCGACAGGTGAGCTTTGAGAAGGTAAAAATCAACAGGACTTAACTGTTTAGCTGTGGGAATTGACTCTTGGGGAACTTATAGTTTAGTTCAGACCTGTGTTAGTTTGCTAGGACTGTTGTAACAAAGTACCACCAACAAGATGGCTTAAGCCGCAGAAATGTATTGTCTCACCATTCTGCAGGCTAGAAGTTCAGGGTCAAGTGTTGGCAAGTTGGGTGATTCTTTGTCAGTGGTAAGGAAGAACCTGTTTCACACCTCTTCCTCTAACTTCTGGTGGTTTGCTGGCAATCTCTGGTGTTCCATGGAGAGCTCTCATCTTCATGTTCACCTGTGTGTGTGTGTGTGTTGGTGTCAGAATTTACCCTTTTTATTGTTAAATTTTTTTTATTGGAGTATAGTTAATTTACAGTGTTATGTTACTTTCAGGTGTACAATAAAGTGAATCAGTAATACATTTATTCTCTCTTTTTAAGATTCTTTTCCCATCTAGGCCATTACAAAATATTGAGTAGAGTTCCCTGTGCTATACAGTGGGTCTTTACTAGTTATCTATTAGAATTTGTCCTTTTTAAGGGACACCAGTCATTTTGGATTAGGGGCCCATCCCATCCCAGTATGGCCTCATCTTAACTAATCATATCGGCCCCAATTTTATTTCCAAACAGGGTCCTTCTGAGGTGCTGAGGGCTAGGTCTTCAATGTATGAATTGGAATTGGAGGGGGACTCAACCCATAACAGGACAGAAGCTAACTGCAGGGAAAAAGGGGGCTTGACAATCAGAAAAACTACCCCTTGCATTCCCTGCATGGACTTGCCCTTGACCCTGACCCAATATTCTCTATCTTTGGCATGGTTTGGAGGGCAGAGTAAGTGGCTTATAATTTGGCATTTTTGAGGCACTCCCGTTTCCATTCAGAACGTATTTATTGAGCACCGATTCTCGCCAGGCATGGTGCTAGAAGCTGCACATTTAGATACAATCAAGGAGCTCACAACTTAGTGGGCCTTGAGGGTGGTCTTATTTGCACCTCACGACAGCCCCGAGTGACGAGCAGGGTGGGATTTTGCATCCTCATTTTACTGAAGTCAAGGACAAGACTGGTAATGTGGGAGGTCAATATGCATGCCCCGAATTAAGCACACAGCCCTGAAAACAGAGGCTCCTCACTCACAGGGGAGACACTGTGACCTGAAGGGAAGGTGGGGACCTGACCTGATGTTCCCTGGGGGTGCAGATGGTCAAACAGCTCTGCTCTGCTCTACAAATGGGCAAATACATCAATGGAACCGGGCTCCCGAGGTGTGAAAGGTAAAATGAGCCTGTTGGGTTTCATCTGTGCTAGTTACTAGGGAGACAATAACAGCTGCTTTTTTTTTTTTTGGTGTGGGCACTTTAAAATCTCAACTCTGGGATCTCCCTGCAGACATATGCAGTATGCCCAAAGAAGCTGGCCCCTGCATGGCTCTTTTCCATCGTTGGTGGTATGATAAGACAAATAATACTTGCTCCAGCTTCATCTATGGTGGTTGTAAAGGAAACAATAACAACTTCCAATCCCAAGCTGTATGCCAGAGTGCCTGCTCCGCAAAGGGTGAGTCCCAGGGGCCCCAGTCTCTCATCCTTGCCAGGGCCACTCTGAGGGGGTAGTCTGGGTGTTGCTTGGCCCATTCCAGGATAGATGCATCCTTGACAGACCAGGTGAAGACCAAGAACTGACCAACTCCGATCAGCAGCTAAGAATGAGCCTTGCAGAGGGTGGGACCATGGCTTGCTGGGAAACTGAAGTTGGGAGAGGACGTGGTTGTGGATCAAAGCTGGCAAGTATTAGGAGTGGGAGAGGATGCAGACATGGTGAGGTCTCAGAGACCAACTTCAGCGAGATCACAGGACATCCCGCCTAGTGCTGGACAGGTGGACCTTCCAGGCCATCGATTTCCCCTCACGACTCTTCACCAGCAACCCACTCCCGGCCACATCCCATTCAGAGCTTTCCAGGGAAACCCACTTCCTTTTAGTCTCCTGTGAAAAGATGTACAAACATAACTTCAAGATTAGTTTGGAAAATAAACTGAGTCCTAGAAGCTCAGCTGGTCCTATCCTCCATTCTCAATAGGCTCTAATTCCTGAATGCGAGAGGATACACTGCAACCACCGCCGGGATTCAGCTCATGACCAAGCGCTGTCCATGTGCCTGCAGATGATCCAGGCTGGCTTCCACTGTTCCACTTCCAGTCTTCCAAGGCCTTAGAGCTTCCCTAAACTGAATCCTGGTACCTGTCTCCTCTTTCTCCATCACAGCCTCTTTTTAGACATAATCTTTCTCTTTTGATCCCATCTCTATGCTTCTTACCTTTATGTCTAACTTCTAGAACCACTTGTTTATATCTGTGAAGCTCTCATTTTTCCCAATAAAGCACTTTATTTAGTCCTGTGCCTCTGAGACTGAATAATTTACATCTACTGGCATATCACACTTTGCAGGGAGTAAAGGGTCATTGAGGTTTCTGGTGACATCATTAAAGGGAATGAAGATAATCAGAACCTTGAGAGTTGAGGATTCCAGGGACACTGTTATACTACTCCTCTGTTTTTCCAAAGCATCATATGACCCTTTTAAGGCAAGGGCTCTTGGGTGCTGCTCCTTTCTAGGAGAAGGGCATGGGTGAACATAAGTTTATTTGGGATCTTTCAAGAAATACAAGTTGAGGAGTGGGATAAGTGATACAAGGAAGAGAGGAGTTGATTATGTGTTGGCTACCGTGGTGGAAAAATGCAGCTTAATCCCACTAGGGATCTTTCAAAGAGCCTTGTAAAACCTGCCTCTGAATTTTCTTCATTCATGAGGAAGCTGAGGTGTTTAGTCATTGACTTTCATCCTCTGCTGGATGCATGTTGGTTGTTAAATCCCTCACTCTTTCAGACTCTTCTGCATGCAAGCTGACCAAGTTCCTAGAAAGTCAGAGAGAACTCAGAGCAGAGAAGCAGAGACTCTGATACTTGAAGTGGGAAGCTATTGGTGTGCATCGGATGTTATTCAGCCTTTGGAACTTCCGTGGCCGCCCAGTAGTTGGGACTCCGCACTTCCACTGCAGGGGATGTGCGTTCAATTCCTTGTCCGGGAACTGAGATCCTATGTGCTGTGTGATGTGGCCAAAAACAAAACAAAACAAAATTCAGCCATAAAAAGGAATGAAGCACAAATGCATGCTACACAGTGGATGAACCTCAAAAACATTCCACTAAGAAGTCACATTGGGGCGGCGGCCGAGAGGAGCTACCTCATGTCCAAGGTCGGGGCAGTGGCTGCGCTTTGCTGGAGCAGCAGTGAAGAGATACCCCACGTCCAAGGTAAGAGAAACCCAAGTAAGATGGTAGGCACTGAGAGAGGGCATCAGAGGGCAGACAGACTAAAACCACAATCAGAGAAAACTAGCCAATCTGATCACATGAACCACAGCCTTGTCTAACTCAATGAAACTAAGCCATGCTGTGTGGGGCCACCCAAGATGGGCGGGTCATGGTGGAGAGGTCTGGCAGAGGTCTGTCAGACCTCCATGTGGTCCACTGGAGAAAGGAATGGCAAATCACTTCAGTATTCTTGTCCTGAGAACCCCGTGAACAGTATGAAAAGGCAAAAAGATAGGACACTGAAAGATGAACTCCCCAGGTCAGTAGGTGCCCAATATGCTACTGGAGATCAGTGGAAAAATAACTCCAGAAAGAATGAAGGGATGCAGCCAAAGCAAAAATAATACCCAGTTGTGGATGGGACTGGTGATAGAAGCAAGAAGCAAGGTTCAATGCTGTAGAGAGCAATATTGCATAGGAACCTGGAATGTTAGGTCCATGAATCAAGGCAAATTGGAAGTGGTCAAACAGGAGATGGCAAGAGTAAACATCTACATTCTAGGAATCAGTGAACTAAGATGGACTGAAATGGGTGAATTTAACTTAGATGACCATTATATCTACTACTGTGGGCAGGAATCCCTTAGAAGAAACGGAGTAGCCATCATAGTCAACAAAAGAGTCCGAAATGCAGTACTTGGATGCAATCTCAAAAACAACAGAATGATCTCTGTTTGTTTCCAAGGCAAACCATTCAATATCACGGTAATCCAAGTCTACGCCCCGAACAGTAACGCTGAAGAAGCTGAAGTTGAACAGTTCTACGAAGACCTACAAGATCTTCTAGAACTAACATCCAAAAAAGATGTCCTTTTCATTATAGGGGACTGGAGTGCAAAAGTAAGAAGTCAAGAAACACCTGGAGTAACAGGCAAATTTGGCCTTGGAGTACAGAATGAAGCAAGGCAAAGGCTAATAGAGTTCTGCCAAGAGAACACACTGGTCATAGCAAACACCCTCTTCCAACAACACAAGAGAAGACTCTACACATGGACATCACCAGATGGTCGACACTGAGATTAGATTGATTATGTTCTTTGCAGCCAAAGATGGAGAAGCTCTATACAGTCAGCAAAAACAAGACCGGGAGCTGACTGTGGCTCAGATTATGAACTCCTTGTTGCCAAATTTGGACTGAAATTGAAGAAAGTGGAGAAAACCACTAGACCCTTCAGGTATGACCTAAATCAAATCCCTTATGACTGACTATACAGTGGAAGTGAGAAATAACTTAAGGGACTAGATCTTATAGCCAGAGTACCTGATGAACTATGGATGGAGGTTCATGACATTGTACAGGAGACAGGAATCAAGACCATCCCCAAGAAAAAGAAATGCAAAAAAGCAAAATGGGTGTCTGAGGAGGCCTTACCAATAGCTTTGAAAAGAAGGGAAGTGAAAGGCAAAGGAGAAAAGGAAAGATATACCCATTTGAATGCAGAGTTCCAAAGAATAGCAAGGAGAGATAAGAAAGCCTTCCTCAGCGATCAGTGCAAAGAAATAGAGGAAAACAATAGAATAAGAAAGACTAGAGATCTCTTCAATAAAATTAGAGATACCAAGGGAACCTTCATGCATAGATGGGCTCAATAATGGACAGAAATGGTAGGGACCTAACAGAAGCAGAAGATATTTAGAAAAGGTGGCAAGAATACACAGAAGAACAATACAAAAAAGGTCTTCACGACCCACATAATCACGATGGTGTGATCACTCACCTAGAGTCAGACATCCTGGAATGTGAAGTCAACTGAGCCTTAGGAAGCATCACTACAAACAAAGCTAGTGGAGGTGATGGGATTCCAGTTGAGCTATTTCAAATCCTGAAAAATGATGCTGTGAAAGTGCTGCACTCAATATGGCAGCAAATTTGGAAAACTCAACAGTGGTCAACAGGACTGGAAAAGGTCAGTTTTCATTCCAATCCCTAAGAAAGGCAGTGCCAAAGAATGCTCAAACTACCGCACAATTGCACTCATCTCACACGCTAGTAAAGTAATGCTTAAAATTCTCCAAGCCAGGCTTCAGCAATATGTGAACCATGAACTTCCAGATGTTCAAGCTGGTTTTAGGAAAGGCAGAGGAACCAGAGATCAAATTGCCAACATTCGCTGGATCATCAAAAAAACAAGAGAATTCCAGGGAAACGTCTATTTCTGCCTAATGGACTATGCCAAAGCCTTTGACTGTGTGGATCACAATAAACTGGAAAATTCTGGAAGAGCTGGGAATATCAGACCAGCTGACCCACCTCTTGAGAAACCTGTATGCAGGTCAGGAAGCAACAGTTAGAACTGGACATGGAACAACAGACTGGTTCCAAATAGGAAAAGGAGTACATCAAGGCTGAATTTTGTCACCCTGCTTATTTAATTTATATGCAGAGTACATCATGAGAAATGCTGGGCTGGATGAAGCACAAGCTGGAATCAAGATTGCCGGGAGAAATATCAATAACCTGAGATATGCATATGACACCACCCTTATGGCAGAAAGTGAAGAAGAACTAAAGAGCCTCTTGATGAAAGTGAAAGAGGAGAGTGAAAAAGTTGGCTTAAAGCTCAACATTCAGAACACTAAGATCATGGCATCTGGTCCCATCACTTCATGGCAAATGGATGGGGAAACAGTGGAAACAGTGGCTGACTTTATTTTTCTGGTCTCCAAAATCACTGCAGATGGTGATTGCAGCCACGAAATTAAAAGATGCTTACTCCTTGGAAGGAAAGTTATGACCAACCTAGATAGCATACTGAAAAGCAGAGACATTACTTTGACAACAAAGGTCCATCTAGTCAAGGCTATGGTTTTTCCAGTGGTCATGTATGGATGTGAGATTTGGATTATAAAGAAAGCTGAGCACTGAAGAATTGATGCTTTTGAACTGTGGTGTTGGAGAAGACTCTTGGACTGCAAGGAGATCCAATCAGTCCATCCTAAAGGAGATCAGTCCTGGGTGTTCATTGGAAGGACTGATGCTGAAGCTGAAACTCCTATATTTTGGCTACCTGATGTGAAGAGATGACTCATTTGAAAAGACCTTGATGCTGGGAAAGATTGAGGGCAGGAGGAGAAGGGGACAACAGAGGATGAGATGGTTGGATGGCATCACCGACTTGATGGACATGGGTTTGGGTGTACTCCGGGAGTTGGTGATGGACAGGGATGCCTGGCGTGCTGTGGCTCATGGGGTTGCAAAGAATTGGACACGACTGAGTAACTGAACTGAACTGAAGAAGTCACACAAAAGGTCATATACTATAAGATTCTATTTACATGAACTATCCAGAACAGGTAAATTCAAAAAGATAAAAAGAGAATAGTGGTTGCTGGAATAGGCTGGAGAGGGTGTAGAGTGAGTGCTAATGGTATGAAGTTTTCTTTAGGAATGATGAAAATGTTTTGGAATTAATAAAGGTGGAAGTTGTGCAATATTATGAAGGTACTGAAAAACCACTGCACTGTTACTTTAAAATTCTTAATTTTGTTATGTGAATTCCACCTCAGTTTTAATAAATGGATTAAAAAAAAAATAATGAACTCGAACTGTCTCCTACAGCTGCAGGTAAAATCAGAGACAAGCCAAGAATATGAACTACAGATGCTGCAAGCCTTCAACTGGAAAGTTCAACAGAACATTCTTCAGGCCCCACTGCTGCAGCTAGCTATGAGGTCATAACTGACATTTATTCCACCCCACTCCCTGCATCACTGATTCTAAGTTACACTCAGAGGTGATAGAAGCTCTCCGTTAGCTATAACCTCGTCTCCTGCTTTCAAAGCACCACAACTTTAACAGGCACTCTCTGAAGATTTGGTTCATTCTCAGATCAGTGTGTTTCTTCCCCCACATGCTACTCATGACAATACCTTTACTTTTTGGCAATGGTTAAAGAAAAGTGGTGCCTATCCAATTAGGTTGTGCTGTGGTAAAGAATCCACCCATCAATTGCAGGAGATGCAGGCATCTTTAATCCTTGAGTCAGGAAGATCCCCTGGAGAAGGAAATGGCAACACACTCCAGGATTCTTGCCTGGAAAATCCCATGGACAGAGGGGCCTGGCGGGTTACAGTCCATGGGGTCACAAAGAATCGGATGCAACTGAACAACTGATCACACCCACACAATGAAAAGGGGTGGCCCAAAAAGAAGGAAGAGAAAGACAGAAGAGAGATGAATGGCAGGGAGAAAGAGACCCAGACAGAGGGGAATGCAAAGAAAAAGAGAGAAAGATAGGCAGTATAAAAGAAAGGTGCTCAGAGAAGGAAAAACAAACAAACAAAGCAGTGTGAGAAAAATAAGCAGACCAGAATAGATAAGTCAGGAGAAGAGTAAGATTAGAAAGAGGCAAGAGAACTGGGATCCTCGTGATCTCCAAACTCCCCCTGGAAAACAGAAGAGCCTGAAATCAAATATGCCTTTCTGCCTAGGGGGTCTAGAAGCCCCTGACAAGTTTTGTTCTTCTCTCTGGTTGACCAGAAAGCCAGAGAGCCTCAGTGAGATGAGAAGAGGGAGCTGCCCATCAAAGAGCTCCTCCCCGCAAGGGTTGACGTGGGAGTCAGCTAGTCCCACTGATGGCCTCCGGGGCTTGTCGTTCCCCAGAAGAGGGAGTGTGGCTGGCTTGGCTCCAGTGATGTGTGGTTTCCTGGAGTGTCAAGCTAGGCCGGGGCAGCCAAAGTTCAGAAGCAGAAGCTGCAGAGCAGGAGTTCCTGGTTTTGGTGCCGCCAGCCAGGCGAGTCCCTCCTGAAATGGGGTTCCTCGGAGTTTTGCCCATCCTGATACTATTCATTCTCTTGGGGGGTGTCCCGGAACCTGGGCTGGTGGAGGCATTCTTTCTAAGTAAGTATGAAAGTAAATATCAAAGCAAGAATTGAAGACTCAGTCTTTCTAGTGGAGAAATGGAGCTTGGCTAGGAGGAAGGAACAAAAATTTTGCTGATGAGAAATGTGTTCCCCCACCTCTGTCTGGGATCCTGGGGGAGAAAGAAGAACTGTATCGGGAGACCTCCTTTTAGCCCCTTTACTCCTGGTTAAGATGTCCTTGGTGAATGCAGGAACCTGACCCTGTGGCAACTGACTTCCCACCATCATTATGAGAGGGCTTTTTCCTAAGGGTTTGGATGAAACAGACTAAGGGAACTTGGGAAAATTCACCATAAGAAAGGCCACTCCCCACCCCCCAGCACCACCTTCATCAACTTCTAAGTCTTCTCACTGTAACCTTCCAAAGTCTCCCCACCCCCACCTCCGTGCCTACAGGGGATCTTTGCCTTTGGGGTAAAGAAGGGTCTTTGAAAGTCCCCTGGAATGCTGACATACTCTGCCATTAGCAGCAGAGAGAAGCAGCCCCCAGACAGCAGCGGAGCCACACATGGCTGGGCCAGATCACGTTCCACTCCCTGGTAGCCGTGTGAACTTGGCAAGTTTTCAGCACCTCCTTTTTACAAAATGTGAATGTTGACAAAGCTTACCCAGAAGAGCTGTAAGGAGGACTGAAGAGAAAAGAACAGGGACACGGTAAACACTTAATCATTACTGGTTATAATGATGAGCAGGAGGAGGATGGGGATGTTGGATGGGGATGCTGAAGATGTCCCGGGCAGCTTGACAATGGCTTTACAAGTTTTGTCACATGAATCCTCAAAACAGCCCTCTCAGCAAATGAAGAAAATCAAGGTTCAGGGACAGTTCCTGCCACACCGAGGGATGCACAGAATTCAAAAGCCCTGCTTCCAGAAAGGGAGTTCGCAACCACTGAGAGCTGCAACCCTACCCTGCCCCCAGCCAGGGAACATCCAAATAAGGGAAGGCCAAGTGACCAGAATAGTCCTGGAATGAGCATCTCTGTCCCTGGAACCTTATAGATGATGGGTTTAGAGATCAGATGTTAAGCGGTTATGTGGTTGGGAGTGGGGGTATCTTTGGGAAAATTCTGAGCTCCCTGAAGGTGAGAGGTGAAGTGAAAAGAGCTTCCCTTCTTTGGTGATGGTGTCCTGGCCCTGGGAAGGGAGGGGCCCAGCCCCTTCAAGGTTCCAGACGAGTATATCCTTTTGTCCCTCAGGGCAGTGTCCCCGAAACAGGGTAAGATGTGAAATACAAGAAAGAGACCTATGTACGAACAGCAGAGATTGCCCAAAGAAGATGAAATGTTGCATGTTTAGCTGTGGAAAGAAATGTTTAGATATCAGCAAAGGTAACTCACCAGTCCCCTGGGCTATCTGACACCCTCACCCCTACCCTCACTTTCTGCCACCTGTGTGGCATTGTCGTACTCCTCCCCTGGTTTGTTGATGGCTGGTCTCTGACCAAGAGACTGGGTGCATCTTCAACTTGGCACAGATCCTGTTGATGCTGGGCTGGGGAGGGTGTTGACAGATGTGGGCTTTATCTCATTTCTGCCTCTACTTAGGTGTGTGATGTGAGTAATATAATTTTTCCTCTAAGGGTCTTAGTTTTCCTGTTTCTAAGAAAGGAGTATTTTGTGATCCTCTGAGATGCTAAGTAGCTACTGAAGTCTCATCAAATGCCAGCATGGTGACATGATAGCTATAAAAAACAGGTATACGATCTGTATTTCCTAGCTTCTTTTCTGGTCTCTCTGTCTGTAGAAATTCTGGATGCCTCTCTTAGATGTCTTTGATCTCCTACACTCTTTTCTCTCTGCTCATATCGTTGAGCTCTAAAGAAGACCTTGTTCATCAAGGGTTATTCATTCATTAAACAAACATTTACTAGTGGCCCTGACACCCATGATGGGATCCACTTGCTCAGTGTAGCTAGGGGGGACAGGAAAGGGATCTGAAAGATGGGTAGAAGGTAGGAAAAATGGAAGGGAAGACATTTCTGGCACAGGGAACAGCATGTGCATAGGCCCTGTGTGAGAAGACACCATCAGCAAGCTAGGAAGCCCAGAGAACAGAGGAGAGCATGAGTATGGTGAGAGAGGAGAATAATAAAGCTAGAGTAAGTAGAGAAAGCTCTGACAAGGCAGGGCCTTGCCAGTCAGGGTAAAGGATCTGGTCTCAATGTTAAAAGCAACAGACTATCTACATTCAAATCCCTTACCATCTATAATGTGACCTTAGGGAAGTGATTTAGCCTCTCTGAGTTTCAGTTTGTTCATTTGAAAAATGAAGATGATAAGAGGATCTACCTCATAAGACTATGTGTTAATATATGTCAAGCACTGAGAAGAGTGTCTGACCCTTTAATAACTGTGTGCTCAGCGTGCTTCAGACTATGAGGTTCTAAAGAACTCTATTTGTACCTCCTAGGACTGTGCACAGAACAATTGCTCAATAAATGCTTCCATTTAGGATTTTTTACTGTAAACATTCCTGAAGCATCCAAACAGGATGAGTTCTGTGCCATGCGCTAAAATTTTCATGCCTTTCCATTCCGCTGCCCTCCCACCCCATGCCATTGCACATGCTTGGAATGTTCCTTAGGGAGGCAGACATCCAAACAGCTCTGTCCTTCAATCTCCCTGCAGATGTGTGCACTTTGCCAAAGGTTCCTGGCCCCTGCAACGCCTTCTTTGTGCGCTGGTGGTATGATGAGCAAAAAGAAATCTGCTCCTCATTTATCTATGGAGGTTGCCAAGGGAATAATAACAACTTCCAATCTGAAGGTGTCTGCCGTGCTATCTGCCCCCGGAGAAGTAAGTCCCAGTCTCCATGCTAACCTGGGCCACCCTGGGAGGCCTGGTGTTGACTGGTCCATTTTAGAAGCCTGGCAGTCTTGGGGCTTATGATTGAGAGGTAAGAATGCAGTTCACAGAAGGGTAAGTAGAGGATGTTTTGGGAAAGAGAGGGTGGGAAAGGTAGCAGTGGTCAAAGGGATGTGGGTGAATATGAAATAAATGGTGGATACAGACAGAGTAAGCAGACGTGGTGGAGTAGCTGAGATCAAGTCAGAAGATGGCCCAGTGAACTGGCCCAGAGCTGAGCACCATGCACCAGCCTTAACGTCTATCAAACCTGGCCACTGATTTTTTTTCTTTTCTTAAGGTGATTATAGCCAGGACAACCACATGCTTTATTGACCAAACCAAGATACTTTTAAGAGTGAAAGGAGATGCCATTAATTATTACACTGGGAACAACAGGCATAAACTGGGACTATTGGAAAAACCAGAACACATGATCACTCTATGAGCCCCTGAAGACACTCCACTTCTGTTTTTTCTCCCTGTGAAATGATATAAAAATGACACCATCTCCTTTCTTCCATTAATTGCAAGCTATGGTCCTGAAGGTGAGAAGGGCCCCAGCATCTCACCAGGACATTGTTTTTCATCCTGTTGTCTTGCAGGGTCAGTCAGCTGGCTGGGATAAAGAAAGCTGGAACAGCCTCCAGGATTTGGCTCTTATTCCAGGGATCTCTCCAGGTGTGCCTGACAGAGGTTCCATGTTGGCTTCCACAGGTCGAATCTCAGTTGCGAAGAACTTGGAGGTTCCCTTGAGGAGCCCATGATTTGCTGACGTCCTTTCCTCCAGCTCATCTACTCTTCAAACATAATGCCCTTCGCCCTTTGAACCCTTCTCAGCATGTGACCCTATTTCTTCAACTTTCAGGGCCCCCATTTATCTTTTGGAAACCTCCAGTTGCCCCCAATAAAGCGCTCTGTGAGGTCTGAGTTGTCTGTGGCTAAATAATTCACATCTGTTCCCTCTGCAAGAGAACATGTCATTTGATCTCCCAGTGACACCAACAGAGGCACAGAAGAGTATGAAAATCCTGTAGACGGCTGGTGATATTTTTGTCCTGGTGCAATTGCCATAAGTTTGCTTAAGAATGGAAACAGAGCAGGTCCAGGTTTTGTCTGGACTAAAGCTTAGAAGTTCCTTTAAAAAGGAATGCACATTAAATTTAAAAGTGAATATTATTTCAAGTGAGAAAGGAAATTGCACCAATTGCAAAGTTTAAAAAGCTAGCTAGTACTACTAATTGCACAAAATCCATTTAGATGAGTTATCAATTTTTTAAAATGTAGGACATTATTTCTGTAAAAGTCAATGTCTATGGAAAGATAATTCAGTCTTTGATTTACTCTGGCTGATCAAAAGATGACTATTTTTCTATTTTGATTATGGTGGGGATGCATAAATAACACAGCCATATGTGATAGTTGTAGTTCTCCTGAAGGTTTGTGCCCTAAAGATACAGGAATTTTAATAAATTCTCTTTGTACAATTCCATCAAAAAAGAAGAAAATGCATGGCGCATTTAAAATTGTGCATATTGAATTATCAAGTATATTCTTGCTAGTAAAGAGCATCTATTCTTGGGATGGGATATGGGAGGGAGGTTCAAGAGAGAAGGAACATATGTATACCTGTGACCGATTCATGTTGATGCATGGCAGAAACTGAAGAGGAAAAGTTAAAATTTAACATAACCTCTTTCTCCTTCTGCCTCTGTAACTCAGTTTGACCCTTGCAAATTGTAGATCATGTAGGTCACATAGTTTCGGGAAGCGGGGACTTGCAATACTAGGAACTGGAGTTTATCTTACTCACACTTATCCTGCTGTTTGCAACTGCCCAGCCCCTGCAAACCTGCTTAATCATGCCTGTCTAGGTCAGGCACCCCCTCCCCATCTTGACTGCTGTTCCTCTGTACGCGAAATCCCTTAGTTTAAACTAGCCTATTAACAGCTAGTGTTGCCCACTACAACCTGTCTATAAAAAGCTGTAATCCCTTTGTTCAGGGCTCAGAGCTTAGAGTGTTAACTCTTCTGGGCCCACCGGCGTAATAAACCTGAGTTCTCCAACTCTCCAAGTGTGGTGCTTTGGTTTTTCGAATACTGGTTTCTGCAACAAATTAACTCAATATTGTAAAGTAATTATCCTCCAATTAAAAAAAAAAGCACCTGCTCTGAACAGGCTTCCTTAAGAACTAATTTTTTCCTCTTTATAGATTTATTTTTCTGATAGTTGGAAGAATTTTTTGCAGAATGGTTTTTCTGGCTCCATACATTTTACATCTTGTTTTTCCTCCACTATCCCATCCTTCTAGGTACATTAGGTATATTTTATTACAACATAAACTCTAGCCCCATTCCTTAGTGTCATGTGGGTGATAGGAATGTTGCTTAGCACCATTCTTGCACCAAGACAGAAGACAGCAACTTATGATACATAGAAATGTCATGGGAGTGTGTAATTTCCCCAATTCTGTCTCATCACAACAAAAATTTGAAGGGACGGACATTAAAGCTCTCGGACAGACCATGTCACAGCACCATGTTACAGCTCAGTTTTATTTAGAAAATAAATAAAAGGAAAATACATCCTTGAGGCGTGAAGGCATGCTGACCCAAAAGACGTGAAGAGAAGAGAGCGAGACAGCCGGGGAGAGAGAGAGAGCGAGCGAGCGAGTGAGGAGCCTGGCCCTTTGGCTCCTCTTTATATGTTTTTTTCTCCTCCCCCTGGGCCTGCCTTGTGTAAATTGGGTTAGCAGGAGTGCTATTTGTTCCACCTGAGGTCCTCACTCCAGTCCTCGGACATTCCTTTGTTCTATTTTCATGGACTTTCCCCTTCCTTGTCTTTTAGCCACCGCCATTCTGGACTCCTTTTTCCTATTCTAACTACCTAACAGAAATAACTGATAGATAAAACATAGATGTATCATACATACATGAATGACTACTTAAATGTAGGGGCTTCCCAGGGGGCTCTAGTGGTAAAGAACCATTCTGCCAATGCAAGAGACATAAGAGATGGAGATTCAATCCCTGGGTTGGGAAGATCCCCTGGAGGAGGGCATGGCAACCCACTCCAGGATTCATGTCTGGAGAATCCCATGGACAGAGGAGCCTGGAGGGCTGCAGCCCAGAGTGTTGCAAGGAGTCAGACATGATTGAAGCTACATAGCATGCACACATGTAAATATATGCCACTAATTCCAAACTCAGTTGCTTCCCCAACTCAACTTCCTTTTAGCTGGATGCCATAAGTGCTGGCAGCCATTTAAATATCACTGGACACAGGAGGAGAGGGAAAGATGGAGTGGAAAGAGAAAGCAGGCTGATTGGTTAGAAGATCTTGCTTTCAGAGATGATAAGATGATACAGAGCATACTAATACTACCTGGGCCACTCTCAGAGTCTTATAAGGGGTCTGTTCAAGTGAGGGGTCCTAAGGCTTGAGGCTTAATAGAGGGTAGCTCCATCTTAGAAAGGGCTCATGCATCCGCCACGGAGAGGGAGGGCACCAACTACACTGAGATTGTGAGGCTGCCAGGGTTAATACCATGACAGGCGGCCTGGACCTAAGTTTTGGCTTCCCCTGAAATGATAAGATTCCCTACCCCCATCAGGTAACCTGGAGCCAGCCAATATGCGCCCAGTAAGAAACAAAGGAAGAGCTGAAAAGCCCGCGAATGCCCAGGTTTGAAAAAGCCCGCGAAAGTTTGTACCAATAAAATTGCTTTGCAAACATGTAACCAATCCGCTTAAGCCAGCTACTAATCGCTTATGCATACCTTATAAATTTGGATAACAGCCTCTGCTCAAGTCTTTTCTGACCTTGCGCCACTGTGTTGGTTGCAGCAGAAAGCCCTGACTCGAGTCAGTAATAAAACTTCCCTTTTTGTAAATTGCATTGTCTTGGAAGTTCTCTCTTCCCGCTCTGGGATTCGGACATCGGGCAGAACAAGATGATCATGCTAAAGAGGCCCCTGTAGGTGCTCTGGTCCACAGCTCCAGAAAAGCTCTGCCTAAGGAGCAGCAGCAGTCTCCAGCCACATGAATGAGCTCCCAACACATCAGAGCCTCCAGCAAACTTCAACCCTATGAAGACCCCAAGAGAGGACCACCCAGCTGATTCCTTCCCATTTCCTCACCCACAAAAAATAAAATGCTTGTTTTAAACTATCAAGTTTGGGGAATTAAAAAAATGATTTATTTGGCTGCACTGGGTCTTAGTTGCATCATGCAGGATATTGGTTGTGGCCCCTGGACTCTCTAGTTGTGGCTGGAGCACTCTGGAGGCCATGAGCTTCAGCCATTGCAGTGCGTAAGCTTAGCTGCTTCGTGGCTTGTGGGGTCTTAGCTCCCTGACCAGGGATAGAGTATGCGTCCCCTGCATTGCAAGGCAGAATCTTAACTATAGGACCACCAGGGAAGTCCCTGGGGAAATTTTATTTGCAGCATTTGGTAGATAATTGGAACAGATGAGATAAGGAAGTGAATAGAATGGAAGCAGGAAGCGGGGATGGGAGAGGAAGAGGAAAGACATGGAGAAGACTGGGTGAAGAAAAAAAGGAGTCCCCAAGAGACAGGCAAGATAAGAGGGCACAGGGCTTGAGAAGGGAGCCCCACAGCACACATCTTGGATGTCACTTTTGAATAAACTCCTGTTTGCTTTGACTTGCACCAAGAGTTTCTAAAGAGAGTCTGGGGTACACTTACTGGTCAAGTAAGACCCATCGTCTTCCCAACTCTCAGTTTCTCCCTCTTTAAGAAGGGCTGCTTAAATTTATGACTATTTCTGAAAATGATGTTAGCAAACACCTACATTAGGGTCACTTAGGGTCGCTTATGGGGCTTCCCTGGTAGCTCACTGTTAAAGAATTTGTTTGCCAATGCAGGAGCCACAGGACATGCAGTTTTGATTACTGGGTCTGGAAGATCTGGAGGAGGGTATGGCAACACACTCCAGTATTCTGGCCCGGAGACTCCCCATGGACAGAAGAGCCTGGCTGGTCACATAGGGTAGGGAGGAGCTTGTCTAAAGTGTGGGTCCTCCAGAAATTGTCCTCTAAGAAATTGTCATCTCAAGAAGGAGAGTCCAGAAATCTTCAAGATCTAAGTGATTTTATCAGAACCTGTTGATGGAATGATACTTAAGAGGCAATCCATCAGTGAGAGAAAAAAAAAAAAGAGGCTTAACACGTTTATTGGTGCCTGCTCCAGGTACAGGAGGATATTGGGAGAAATTACTAGAATCTTTGAAACCTGGGGAGGATCAGGCAGGGTTGGGCCGCAGATCTCCAAAACACTGCTAATTTGGCAGTTTTGCAGAGTGACCATCTGGCCAAGTGGTCCTCGTGTGTGGTGTCTCCCACATTTACATTGCTCTTGCCTTCACATGTCTGTTCTCCCGGGAAGCCTGTTCCAGCCCTGTACATCTTTGTGATGCAGGGCAAATTACCAAAAATTCATCATTGGTCTACATCATCTGGGGAGAGCACTTCTCTAGGAATAAAGACGTTGAAATATGAGTCTAAACTTTGCCCCTCATTGAATGTATGACCCAGTTGGGACAGGATAGGGTGGAGAGGTACTCCTCTCAGGAGCTCAGTTTCCCATCTGTTAGATGAAAGTGGTGGACTAATATTCAAAGAGTATTTCTAAAGTTGAGAAAATATGAAAGCTCAGGAACCCTGCCAAATCTGATAAGCAACTGATGCTTGTCCATCCCATTGGTACCTCTCAGTTCTTGATTGAATATTACATGCATGAGGGATTGGAACAGACTCGTTCTGCCCTCGTGGACCACAGAGGTCCTTGTAAATGGCCAATTGTGCTTTATGGATGACAGTGTCTGCACTCTGCGCTCAGACACTCCTGAGCGGAGCCCTCAGCGTTGAGCATAGGTCCTTTTATGGAAGATGCTGTGTCTCCTTGTTGTCAACTCTTTGCTCATTTCTCTGCCCCTGAGAACCCTACTCAAGAGGATACCTTGAGTAGGATTTTTAAGTGTTACTCGTGCTGGCAGGCAGACCCAGGACCCCTTATCTCCCTTCTCCTTCTCTTTTCAAAACTGCCTTCAGAGCCAGAAATGCCCAGAGGAAGCTGTGGATGGCTTGGAACCTCTGGGAATGAGCAGGTAAAGGAGACTAGAGAGTTCTCACAGCCCAATAACTTTCCCCTCTTTTTTTTTTTTTAAACACATGTACAAATAGAAGCTTCTAGCAGGAAACAGACTTGTCCAAAGTCATACAGCAAATCAATAACATATCTGGATCTAAAATCTAAGTTTGAAGGGTAGCAAGGTGTTGCTCTGGGGCTCAGACGGTAGAGTCTGCCTGCAATGCAGGAGATTCAGGTTCAATTCCTGGGTTGGGAAGATCCTCTAGAGAAGGGAATGGCTATCCACTCCAGTATTCTTGCCTGGAGAATTCCATTGACAGAGGAGCCTGCAAGCCATAGTCCATGGGGTCACGAAGAGCTGGGTACAACTGAGCGACTAACACAAGGTGTTGCCAGATCCCACAGCCTAATGGGAAATCAGGGTGGATATAATGCTATTTGTCATTTTTTTTTGATATTCAGCATCTTAATCTCATTCCTACAGATGAATCTTACAGATGAAGAATTCCCTATCCAGGGGAGTCTTGGAATGAGGTAAAACCAGCATTCCAATGTAAAAGCTGAGAGGGTCAGACACTTTATAAGTCAGGGTTCATTAAAGGACACTGAAACCACCATATTTTGTATTTCAAACAGAGAGAATTAAAAAATATGAATTGGTTACATGAGTATTGGGAAGATGAATGGCCAAAAGGAGGAGGGGCTGAGGCATCCATCACTCCTAGATTTGGGAGAATAAAAGATTTGGAATTATCAGACCTAGGAGTTCATAGAAGGGTCCCAGACACAACTGGGGCTCATACTTCTGGAAGGACAGAGCTGGGGCTGCATGGTGGGCACTCAATCTTCTAAAATGCCCTGCGGCTTGTATTCGGCCCTCTGAAATGCCGGGAAGCTGGCTCCAGTGGCACTTGGTCTACTGTGTCAGCAGGCAGAGCCAGCTGGTGCTGTATTTCCAAGGAGGGGCAAATGTATCTGGCTTGAAAAGTGATCCAGAGAGTGGAGCTCTAACTCTTTTCTGCTGCTGGAAAGGTGCTGATGGGAGACAGAAAAAGGAAGAAAATCTCCCTTCATCTGATCTGTCAGTTTTCTTTCAGAGTCTCCCATTCACAGAGTCTAACTGAAAGCAAACTGGCAAAAGAGTAAGGGAAAACTTCATTTGTAGAGAGTCCCATCCCCAGCAGAGCAAGGACGGACTTGGAGCTAGAAGAGGGGAAATTATTACTAGCGTACTCTCTCTCCCAGCCTGTCTTGCAGCTGGTAAATAGGCACTAGTCTTGGGTTCGGACAATCAGACACCTCACTTAAAACACTGAATTGAGAGCTACAAAGCAAGAAGCAAGGATAAGAGAGAATTCATTCTGAGGGACAGCAAGAACAGAGAGCCTCATCCTGTTTCTGGGGGGCAGTGGGCATGATGGTGAAGGTGTTGGTATAAGATGGATCCCCAGTATTCAGGACTGTTGATTGTGGCCCTGGCTTCATCACCTTCCTTGTTCCCATCCATTCCCCTAATCTTATTTCCCTGTCCTGTTGGGTATCCTGAGAGCCACCCAGAATTTGAAAAGTAGATTTCCATTATGTTTAAAATAACCGGGATTGCATTTGTGTCTGGAAACCCTGACTGATACGTGAGGATGGCACCTGTAAGAGTCTAAAAGTCCCAATGAGCATAGGGCTCAGTCACTCAGCTGTGTCCAACTCTTTGTAACTCCATGGACTGAAGCCCGCCAGACTCCTCTGTCTATGGGATTTTATAGGTGAGAATACTCGAGTGGGTTCTCCAGGGGATCTTCCCGACCCAGGAATGTAACTTGAGTCTCTTTCATTGCCTGCAGTGGCGGGCAGATTCTTTACCACTAGCACCACCTGGAAATCTCAATGAGCACAGAGGACTTTTTTTCTCATGACAGGTTGTCGGCCTAACGTGATGTGGTCCAATGAAGTCCTTCCACAACCAGTTCTTGAAGTTTGTCGTTATGCTATGGGCCCCATATTCCTCTGGGTTAGGTTTTTCTTTGGAATGGGTGTCCTTTAGAGCATGAATACCCAGAAGTGAGTAACATTGAGGTCATTTACCCTCTTACTTTCTCATTGCAAGGATATGGATATGACGACAGAACTGGGGCTTGAGTGGAAATCAGAAAAAATATTCTTTTCAGAATAACAGGGTAAATAAAGCAAGACTACTTCCATGAATAGTAGAAAGAGTTTTGGGCTTAGGGAACTGGTCTCTAATGCTGGCCCCAGCCCTTGAACTATGTGACAGTGAATAAGCTGCCATTCTCTCTGGGCCCTGGTATGACCACACCTGGACCATTGGGAAAAGACAGAGGACCTTCCTCTATGGACTCACCTGGGGCACCGGCTTGGCGTGAATCCTTCCCGCCCCTAGTGAGGTTCAAAGCGATGTCAACAGAGGTAGTGATGGGAGAGGGTGGGCCTGGGAGAGCAACAGGAGATCCAGTAAAAACCCTGTAGACCACACACCTTCCAGGAAGGCCTGGGGCTCCAAACCCTTGTCCTACATCCGCCTCTTGTCAGGCGAGCTGCACCCCAACGCAGTATCATGTTGGGAGGGGAGAACTGAGCCCCTATAACTGTCTTCAAGACCTGGGTTTTGGGTGTGGAGGGCAGTTTTCACTCTCAATCAACAGGATGTATACTTCAGCATCCACAAGTACTGACATTTGAGCTGCTCAGACATCCCAGACACAACTTCAGCAGGCTCTGTCAAGAAGATGAACGAACATTTTTAATGTCTTTTAAATACCTTATCTGCCTTTGAGTAGGTCAAGGTTTTTTTCTTTTTCTTTTTTAAGCCACATATCTAAGGCAGTGGCTCACCAACACTAATACAATGAGAACTCAGATATTCTAGACTTTTCTAAACAAAACAAACAAACAGAAAAACAAAAGAAAGGTCCCCAGGTAATTCTGATATGTTACAAATTTGGAACTACTGGCCTAACACCTTCTCTATTTAATATCACAATTCCTGAAAAATATTACTAAGTGCAGAACGTATCATTTCTAATTCATCTTATTTATACTTCTGCACTCCTTCTGCTATTAATTTTGACACTAAAGATTCTTCCTTCTTGATCCGCCATTCCAGATAAGTACTGTCCAGTACAGAACATCTCATACCTGTTTCATCATATTTATCTTTTGCACAACTTTCCCTCCCTTTTTCTCCTTACCA